CCCTGAGCAAATACTCACTTTTTTCCATACCATTTGCATGCCCCCCCCCCCACTGTGAAGCTTTTCCTTTAATCAGTCATATTAACAGCAACTCTACCATTTTGACCTTACAGCTATACCCAGCCCGTTATTAATAGTGTATATCAACTTCTCCGTGCAGGATAATGGAGTTTTTTTTTACTAGTCTTCATCAGTCAATGGAAGAGAGGCGGACTGCACCCATGACAGGTTGCTTCATCGCAGGACATCAAAACTAACATGAGAAAACCTGTTTTGAAATCTGCTTTAGGAACACTAGACATAGTGCAACAACTTCTAGGCAACTGCAGTTGACAGCTTGACTTTAAGCTTCAGGTAGGAGAGTCAATCTTTTAAAATGACAATAGTATTTAACAGGCCACAAAAAAGGAGCAAAGTATTAGGCTACATGTTTCAGCCTTTTGACATCATAATGTTAAGGTTCGATGGAGATAAAAGAAAAAAACTAGGCTTGGTTTGGACTAGATATCCATGTCGTGGATGCATCAGAATACAGAGAGCAAAGATAAGTAAAAAAAAAACAAACAAAGTATATAACACTGTCATGGAGACTTAAATTGCTGTTGCATATGCAGCCAGACCCCCCACTGGCTTCTTACCCTTAAGGCAGTGGTGTTTCTTAGGGTGAGGTAGACGAAGGGCTGAAAAACAGTCAAGGTCAGCTAGAGGAGACTGTGTTGTTCCTCTGCGTAAAAGTGCTTTTACTCAAAGAGCCTTTGCAGTCACAGCATCTCAGGAATGGAACTCTGTCCCTCAGAACATCAGAGAACTTACAACATACACTATTTTCAAAAAGCATCTAAAAAACTGGCTCATAAAACATCAGTCATGTCAGCATTAATTGAAAGTCTGTTATTAACAAGCCATGCTGCCACTTGTATCTCCGCTGTGTGTATGTATACATGTGTATGTGTATATGTATGTATGTGCGTTTGCAGGAATGCTTTTTGATGTACACTGTCCCTGTCAAACAAATAAATAGATTAAAATTAAATAAATTAAATACAGCTCCACAAAAGTAAGGGTATCATACATTAGTCATCAAAAAAATGAATTTAAAAACACTCCTAAAAAAAAAAAAACTTTAACAAATGATTTCTATGGAATGCTCAAAGATTGAATTTGCATGCATCGCTACAGAATGAACTAAATTAAAGATGGAAGAGATCAGGTTAGGTGGCTGTTTTAAAGCAGTGCTGCTTGTACCATAGATGGAAAAGAAAATAGAGAGGGAGGGTGAGGTAAGTTTTTCCCACCATCATTATTAGATGAATGAAAAAATGAAAAAAATATCTATTTTTCAGAAGCATTCGTAGAAGAGATTATTGTCAAAGCTGAAGATCACTAAATACAGGGATTGGATAAATCAATTACACGATTAGACACATCG